GTTACAAGGTTTTCACTGCTGTCCCCTCTCACTCTCTCGGATTTCTCTCCTCAGATCTCACCTGCGACACTAACACTGTATTTCTTATCTGGGCCCTTCTCACACTGTTTCATTGGAACAAAGTATCTCTTTCAGATACAATATTCTCATTCCAGTAGGATTTACTTGCTTGACACCCAAATCAGTGCGTGAAACACAGAATTGTGCATGTCACAACCTACAGGAGATAATCATAATAATTTCTTCCCCTGTCAAGGCAATCTTGGACGTTTTTCTTAAAATTCTCACAAGAAGTCCTTTCCTTTCTTCAAAGCTTTCCCACAGTCATTTTGTTCACAACATCTACCCCAAACCAGCAGCAGAAAACTCACTAGAAAGACTGACTTTACCTTTCAGATAACTTTGCTTATTTGCTGTAATTATAGCTGCTTCACAATCAATTTTCAGTTTTCATCACTTATTCTACACCTCACGCCCCACCAATGGACCTCATCTGCATTCCAGCTGATTGCAGCAGGAACCACCCTCTGAGAGCACACAAATCTCCTTCAGAGCAAATGTAGTTCCCAGCATAAATCCATGGCAATCTGACAATATAGAGGCATGGAATATCCCTAGCTAGCATGGCAGGTGTGAAAAGGTCACAGTTAGGCAGGAGGTAAAGAATGGCAGGAAGAACTGAAGAAAATCAGGAAAGCTGTGAGAAACACAAACTTCAGAGGATAAATGTTGAAAAGATTCAGACTCAGGATGATGCGATGCAGGGAGCTCTAAATATATATATAAAGATTCTCTCGATATATAAGCATATATATACACGTGTGTGTGTGTGTATATATATATATATTTATATATATAGCACACAGAGTCCTCTTTAGACCTAGAGTTGGTCTCTAGGTTTCTTGGTTCATAGAATCATGGAGTATCTTGAGTTGGAAGGGACTTAAAAGGATCATCCAGTCCAACCCCTGGCCCTGCACAGGACATCCCAACAATCCCACCCTGTCCCTGAAAGCATTGTCCAAACCCTCCTGGAGCTCTGGCAGCCTTGGTGCTGTGCCCACTGCCCTGGGGAGCCTGTTCAGTGCCCAACCACCCTCTGGGGGAAGAACCTTTCCCTGAGATCCAACCTAAACCTCCCCTGACACAGCTCCAGCTGTTCCCTCGGGTCCCATCATTATAATATTCCCATGTCTTTTCAAGCAGCTACGAAACCTACAGCTAACCTGTCTCTCCTACTTATTTCCCTTAAGGAAAAGCAACCTATATTCCTATTGCTGTTTACTTGGCCAGTTCAAGGGATAAACATAAGCACCATGAATGCCAAGCACTGAGAACTGTCCATGTTGAGGTCAGTAGATTCTCACACAATATAATTAATTGCTTTTCTCATAAGAGTGCTTAAAAAACCAAGGCTATCACCTCTCTTTCCCAGATAATTACCTGAGAACAGGAAACAAAAATTACAGGTGTACTTAGAAAAAATGTTACCACTGCAAAATCAGAAGTACAAATTAGTGTACTTTAGGATGGCATTTGCCTAGGCAACTTTAATTCAATCCCTTGTGCATATTTGTAAGGCTAAACACTGAAATCCTAATTTCCTTGAAGTCAGTGGGCCATTTGCCATGGACTTCAGAGATGCAAGTATTTCACCCACAGCTTCACCTACACACAGATTTCAGATGCAGATTTTATCACGAGATCCTTTCCTCTGTTGTTTACAGAGCTGTCTGAATGGAAGTATTTTATTTTCCCCTCCCTATAACAATGGTGTGTGGCCCAGTGCCTTATTTACTGCACACCCATAAAGCCTACACTGAATACAGGATTTGAAATGTCTCATGGCTGTTTTTCATCACGAAACCTTGTTATTCTCCCGAGTCTTACATGTGCTATGAAAGCATCTTTAGACTATTTTGTGAAGCACTTGCATTACCACTTCTGTTTTGTAGGTTGGAACCAGGAGAAAAGATATGCTAAAGCTCACTACTCTAAGTCCTGAATTATGCATAGTTCTGATTTATTCAGAAATCATCACTGTTTTATCTCTAGAGCAGTTTCTTTTCATCTTAGTTTCTGTTAAGAGCTCCCACCATTTCTGCACATTAAGCTCCATTTATTCTGAGTTAGGCAAACAAAAAACAAAGTTCACTCAGAATAGTGGTCACATATAAAAAGCCTGATAGAATTGCCAAAACTGCTGAAGGACATAGAGCAAAAATCAGGAATCTGTCTGCATTCCTTGGACTCACTATAGAACCTGTGGGGGACAAAAAAGATGCTCCAGGGAGCTAAACTCAATGTCAGAGGGAGTTTGAGCCTTCTTGTCACACCTCATGTGGAAGTTTCCTGGCTGCAAACCTACAAACTATTGGATTGGTGCATAAGAAAATGCAAAGACAATTAAAAAAATGCCAGATGAAAATTCACTGTCCCTTGCATGGGTGAACTATGCAGTAAAATCAACAGGAGTGCTGACAGTCAAATGAGGACCAGGCTTTGCTTGGGCAACACATATTTGCTGAAAAACATGGGATGTTTGAGTTCAGCTATGAAATAGGAACTAAGGATTTACTGATTCAACCCTTGACTTGTTCATCCTTCTCAAAGTGGTCCTATGACATCATTTTTGAATGCTCTTTAACTCTCACAAGCATCTTATCCGTGGCTTTTCTGGATTGCTAAAGGAAAATGAACAGTTTAGTGACAAACTGATTTGGATTTATCGACTAAACCAACCGAATGAAGGGTGTGTGCACAGAGCAGACTTCGAAGTGGTTTCTAGTAATCAGAATTAGGGATTTGCAGCTGCCTCAGTATGCTGATGATAACAGAGATAAACATCTTATCTAGGAGTTGTTCTGGACCAGGAGTGCTCCATTCATATGCAAATGTATGCCCCCTTGATGGCTCAATCGACTGCGATTGACCACTAATGAGTTAAATCTCTTTTGAAAAGCCTCAATCGAGTATGTTAAAAAATATTACAGGTCTTGAATCTAAGAAAAAAAAAAAAAAAAGCAGCATTGAAAGACATATTTATGGGAAACCTCAGATAGGAATTTAAAACAGTGGTAGTAATTTCTTAAAAATGTGATGTATTGAGGCTAGGAATGGTAGCACAATCATTAATTCTGAGATTTCCCTATGAAACACCTGTTTGTTATTAAGGATCAGGGATATCTGTAGCTTTTGCTTACACAGAGTGGAGAAGAATATTACCTGAAACCCACTAGAAAACCAAACCAAAAACATACAAACAAAAAAAGGCCTAATTAATGTTATGTCAGGGTCGCTACTCCCTTGGGAGTGGACAAAAAACAAATGAGTCTTCATTGCTCAAGTGCCTCACTGCACCCTCATGGAAGGAAGGAGCAGTAGGAGCCAAGGGTTACTGCTGGTCCTCAAACAAAGACACCTTCAGGTTCACAAAGTGAGTCTAAAATTATAAAGCCCAAAAAAAACAATAGCAGGGAGGAGTCCAGACAGGGGAACAGGGCTCTGGGACCCAAATGCCAGTGGGCCTCCTGAGAAGACAGGACCATCCTACCCTTTGCAGCTACATTCAGAGGCTTGGAAATTGTAGTACCAGCAAGGAAACATCTGGGAGAATATTTGCATCTATACTGAACTTGGAATAAGGTAATACCCTAAGTGCTCAGTCAAGGATGGTTAGTGCAGCTGAAAGCCTGAGGGAACCCCTTGCAAAGGTTAGAGTGTACTCGTGGTGACATTTTCAGATGCAAGCTCAACAGTCACACCCCCTTCATAACATGCACAGGCTGTGTCTTGCTCCAAAGTCTGCACCAGAAGGAAGGGCACACAAACCCCAGGTAATTATAGCCTAGGGACCCATCATATATTAAATTAATTTTCAAATCTGTTTCTGCAAACAACCCTTCTGCAACACCACTGCAGGTTTTGCTGGGCACCATTAATTGGCTGATGTTTTAACTGTGATTGCAAATCCTGACGTTGCTCCTCAGCCTTTTATCCAGGTAAAATTCCCACTGAAGATGAAAGAAAAGTTTGCACAAAAAAAAAAGAAAAAAAAAAAAGAATTAAATAAAGCATCTCTCATAACTTTTCTGCTAGAGATTCCACTTGTCAGCATTTGAGCTGCCTCTGTGATATGAGCATTGCTCCTCATTTGAAGTTTGGACTGACAAAGTTCACAGAGCTGCCATACAGGGCTCACCAACCTATGCAGGGCATCCACCAAGTTTACACTTCAATTTGGACATGACAGAAACCACTTATCACATCAGTGACAGGCTACTCCACTATGTCTCTATATTATTCCTGCTACAACATAAAAAATAGGAATATTTTATTGCCTTCCCTGTAAAAGATACATGTTTTTTTCCTCTAAACTCAGTGAAGACTTTTACCAATTCTTATTGACCTCTGTGAAGTCATCAATCAGTGACTGAGTCAATGAAGCTACATTCTAAAACATGGGGTTTGTCAGTCATTTTGACAAATAAATGACAGTTTAGTTTCCATCACCATGTATTAGGAATGAAAATAGCTAGCAAAAAAATTAGGTCTGATTTTTTCCACAGAAAATGAAAATGAGAAGAGACATTCAAAGAGACTTACTGGGTTCATAAAAATAACAAAAGGAGGGCTGATAAGCTCCTACCCCAGTTTTTCTGTTCTTTTGAAAGTGAGGACAAATCAGCTCTACAGTACACACACCTGAATACACACATCAGAACTGAACCATCATTCCATTATTCCATTACACAAACCAATAACCTCCAAAGGCAGGGTCAAAGCTGGGATCAAGGATTCTTATCTCCAGTGCTCATCTGAGTAAAGCAAAAGATGTATTTTATGCTTTATTGTTCCACTCTATTTAGATCCCACAGATTAATTTACAAAAACTTCACTCCGAGGCACGAAACAGAGGGAAAACTAAGATGGGAGCATCAGGAGGTCAACTGCAGTTAATATTAGCTCCTCACAGGTATTCTGCATTCTCACACCCTTACCTGCTGTAGCACTGGAGACTGTTGGCCACTGCTGATCAGGCCCTCCTGGTCCTCCACGCAGGACTGCTGCCTCCTCCATATGGACAGCACTGGATAAGCACAAATCACAGTTATATCACACAGTTCCCCCCTGCCCTGGGCTTTAAAGCATCTCCCTTTCTCGCTGCTCTTCGAAGTTCATAAAACTGTCTGTCACTGGGCAACTGCTACTACAGATTTAGCAAATTCTGCTGGAGCACAGGAGACCCAGCTCTGCTTTGACTTGCAAAAAATATCTCTGATTATTTACTAAAACCCAGTTGTGGCATAACCTATAAAACAAACATACCTGCAAGACACTTTGCTCTCATTGACTGGGAGTCTCTAATAAAGAAGTTACACGCCTTTGCTGTTATGATCTATTAGCATTAAAGCAAATGATAAAAAGTTGGTGGAGTTAGTTCTGAGCTCCTGTCTTTATGCTATTTTAACAGATCCCACCTTCCTGGGTTACTTTCAGGAAGAAAAATACATTTTCTCAAATGCAGAAACTATTACAGCCAATTTTACAGTGTCACATCGTGAGTGCATGAAAGCACCAATTTTCATCTTACATGGAAGGAAAAGAAAAAATCTGCTACTTATAATGCAAAACTAGGCATGTATTTATATGCAGTTCCTTGGAGAGACAGGATTCAGTGACTGTGTCCCTGCCTCTGCTCATCTGCTTTTCAGCTCCCTTCCACACTCCCAGCTGAACTTCATGGGCAGTGTCAACCAAATGTGCAGATCCCAAGGGTCCTACAGATACTAAATTCCTACAAATCTTATGAAAAATCAGCATTTTATCAGCTGGGCAAGGCACACAGGCTCAGAACCTGAGATTTCAGATAAGGGTGGGGGCTGCTGATGTAGGAGAACAGAGAAACACATCTGATTTCCCAGAAAGCCTCCATTAGCTGCCCTGCTTTGTGGGACGAATTGCTTTAAATAAGCTCTGACTTTTCATTGATTTTTCAAGTAACTTCAGCCAAGACCTTGAACTCTGTATAGAAAGGAATGTGGATCCACAGGATCATGCTGGGAATACACAAGAGCATGCCTGACTCAGGACCAGCAGACAAGGTGCTCAGATGGGCAGAATTCCTGCTTCAGGATCCTGCCCCCCACACTGTTCATTCCCTTTGCAGTAAGTGGTCAGGGATTACAAAAAAAATTGAAAGTCACAGAAGGAACATAAAAGAAAGAAAGCAGTTTCCCAACAGGCCACAGAGTCAAAAGCTCTGCCTTTTTTTCCTTCTGGTCCCTGAGGTTTAGATTCCTTTTTACAAAGCAGCTCCAAGTCAGCTGGGAGTCACTCTGTGCCCTTACCCACATGAAGCACAGTATGACTGAATTTAAAATTTCAACCCTATGAAGATTCTTCAGCCCCATGGATAATGGATAAAGGTGATGCCTACAGTCCCGTTGCACCAACAATTTTTGGAAAAGCAAACCATCCTACACTTTCTAATGCCACTAGAAACTACTGCAGCCTTATGTTTGCACCTAAACCTGTACAGTTGTCTTATTAATCACATCAGCTTACACACAAATATAAAACAAGTTTTCTAATCTGCTCAGAGAGAGCAAAAATACTGTTTGATTTAGGATCTACAAAACCAAAAAAAATAATTCTTTTTTTCCAGGGGTACTGAGAAGCAAATTATAGCAGAGACTGCTTGCAATATTAGGCAGCGGATTTTCAAAGATGTCTAAAGAGATTTGGACAAAAGCCTCACTTACTTCTCTGAAAATCCATCTCATATCTTCAAAAAGTCCTTTCAACTGTATTAATCTTCTTGATTGCACCATGTGGTTAACAAACCTGCTGCAGGAGCAGCTACTTTTATGGTAATGAGTAAAAAGAAAATGGAAAACGCAGCGGTGCTGCAGACTGCCTATTGAAACATCAGCATTGATGATTACAGGCAGCTTTAAAATAAACAAAAAGTATATAATCACAATTAAATGATTCAATAATAGGAGCAATTATGCCTTGACAATCGATGTATACAAAGGCAGGAGGTAAAATAACAATAAAAAAAAGCACAGATCTACAGTACTGCAACAACAGCGAGTCAGGCTGACGCTGGAGCACTTGGAGATTGGAAGTGACAGCAGCAGAACTCATGTGCTTTCCATCTCAGCGTGGATAACATCAGTCTGGGGCATCAGAGGAGCCAGAGTTTGTCCTTTTCACAGAGGACAAAGACAGAAGTCCCCTCCCCTGGAGAACCACCACACGTACCTTTGCATTCCTGCCCTCAGAGATGCAGAATAGCGCCAGTCCGGGTTGGGGTGTTTGGGCTGCAGAAACAAAAGCCCAGGATAACTCTGTTAGTGTCAGTTATATATGCTAAAAAGCATATGCATCTGGCTAATTTTGTCAGGAAACTCTATGTGGATCTACTCAGTTTTTATGAATTGCCAAATCTTTCTATAAATCTAGAGAACCTTTCGAATGGGCACACAGGGAGCATCTCTGTAATAAGCTTGTTTGAATGCCAAGGCCTTGGGCTAGAGATGATCTCTGTGGAACATTTAATGCTGAAAACTGGTGGGCAGTTATTTCATACATTCATCAACATTTTAGGCATAGGATAAAAAAACATCATCATAAATCCAGAAAACACATTGTTTGTTTACCTGATAAACCGAGGACACTCGAACTCCTGCACTGAACAGCTCCTGCTTGAGGGTGGGTAAATGCAGCCCCTCCTGAAGGGGACATGTGGGGCAGTGGCTGCTGTGAGGTGTCTGCTAGAATTTAGAGTACTGCAGAGGACTGCACTGGATGGTATCAGATCTGCAGACTGCAGCAAGTCTTTTATTACAGGCAGACATGTTCTTCCATAATACCAAAACCTACTGGATTCTCCATAGTCATGAGAGGGCATAAGAGGTAGAAGGGGAAAACAGCCAGCAGTACCCTTTGACCAACAAACCTCAGCACATGCTGATGTGCTGCAGAGTGACCTGCTAAATGAGGAGATAATGAAGAAATCCTCTGTGGATCAAAAATTGCTCCAGAAAATCTTGTTCACGTTGTCAGGGGACCATCGCTATAATTTTCAACTACAGCCAATGAATGCAAACTCAGGTCCCTTAAAATTAAGCCCTAAGGACATAGCAAGGTTATTTCTCAGGATGCTCAAAACATTATTCTGTAGGTGATATTGCACTCAGTGCTTAAGTTCAGGCACTGGAATTCAAAGACAGAACTTATGTCCAGAAACATAATGGACTACATTCATTCCTGATGTGTCTTGCACAGTGCCAAGCACACAAATAATATATGACAGTAATGGTTTAATTCTCTTCAAATTATTGGAGGCAGATCAGAAATGAATTTGGCCCCATTACTTGAAAGAGAAAAAGAAAGTGTTGAATGTTCTGAATTATTTAAAGCCAACTCTGTCTTTCCTCTTGAGGTTTGGGGTGTGCTCTTCCCTGGATCAATAGGTTTTATTCAAACAAAAATGGAGCAATTACAACTTACAGTATCACTCTATCACCAACCTTCCCAGGTCCAACATCACTCAAGAGTGAGATGCTCTTGGATGATGCACATACTAATATTCTTTATGGTCTGAGTTACACAAAAGGGAGGAGTCTGCTGTTTGCAACCACACATTAAACATCTGTGCTAGCAATTTCCTTCCCATTTAGCCCCCTGTTCTCTGTCATGCTCAGGTTCTGCTGAGTTTAGCAGAAAGTGGTTTGACAAGAAGCCCATTATGCATAGTTCTAGTATTTTCTGATTAATTCTATTTTGGCACCAGTCCCAGGGATGTCAAAGCAACTCTAAAGTCAACCATGTGGTAACAGTCAATGAAAGAGGATAGAAAACAACCCACACTGATCAGATCCTCTCCTGAGCTTGCCTTCCTTGAGTATGAAGGGTGCTGACACCAGAAGAACTGGCTTTTCTTCTTCTGGGGATTTTTTATAGCAAGGGAACTGCTGGACTGAAGGAAAGCCCCTTTGTTCCATTTTGCAATTTGAGAGGTGCAGGTTCTAATTCATACAGGCTTGTGGGCAGCGTGAGGAGGAGGAATATTACCACAGTCCCAGGCAAAACACAGAGGAAGTGAGATTACATCAAATCGCTGGAAAAGTCTGACATGGGTTGGGTAGAAATGAGAAAAGAGGAAAATGGCCACTCACAGGATATAGATTTTTGGTTTTCAGTTGAGAGCTTTCCAGCTCTTGGCTTGAAGACAAAAATCTCTGTTCTGTTTGCAAAGGGAACTTTCAGACACTGGTTCATAAATGGGTCATGATGGCAGGAGAAGCTCATCAGTGAGAAATTCATCATTTATTCATTTCACATGTATGGACCAAGACTCCTCACATAAGAGAAACAGCAATTAGGAGACAGTGGTATTTTCAAGGACTACTATCCAGAAGCTGTGGTATCTTGTAGCTGCTCCCAAACAGCTCTCTCTTTGCTATGACCTTAGGGAGGGCTGTAGTGCTGCTCCCAGGGGAGGAAAAGAAGGAAAGAGGGGGCAGGATGGGAAAAATATACTCTGCAGGCAAAGAGGTCTATTGCCACAGTTGATTGTCAGGGCTAGTTTTTAACTGTGAAAAGAAAACAATGTTTGTGATTTCTTTTTGAAGTCATTGCATGAAGAACAGGAGCGTGAGGCAGTTGGGCACCAGTCTGCCTTTGTGCAGACCTGTTTGCACCCAGTTTTACCATGTGCTCACTGCTTGACTGGGTAGTTTCAGAGCTCAGCAAGAGAAACAGTTGTCCCACACTTCTGTTACCACAGGTCAGTGTCCCTCAGCTGTCAAAATCAGTGATATTTCTGTTTTGTCAGCATAACTGGCTTCTCCTTTCGTTCTGCTACAGACTGTAATTCTTTTGGATCCTCTGGTCATAAGAGAAAAGTTGTTTCAATACATCTCTAAATGAGACCGGGCTATTAAAGCAAAGAAGCATGACCAGTAATAGAAGTCCAGCAGAGCAGAAGCAGCAAACCTGCTCAGTGATATCTTTCCCAAGCTCAGATGTATTGATTCTTACAGATCCACCAGGAATTCACAGTCTGAATGCTGGACTGGCTTATACCTCTGGCTATGAACAGTCCACCTTTCCCAGACCACTCCCTGAAACCTGCCACATGACCATGTGTCCCACAGCACGTGGGCACTGTGCCATGACATAATCTGGCTCATCTCAAAGCAGAGCTGAGTCCTCAGGCAGTCCCAGGGGACTGCACAGCAGCTCTCAGTGGGCTCCTCTGCAAAGCCCCATCACAGACTTGGCTGTGAGATGTGTAGCTGTGCCATAAACCAACACCACCAGGACAAGGTACAGTGGACAAGGAAGTGTGAGCACAGAGAGGAAGCACAAAGAGGAACAGACCCTCTGAAAGTGTCCAGATGGTTCCCACTTGTACATCCCCACACTTCTACTATGTCACGCAATGCTGATGAAGATAATATTGTCCCTTTTACTGCCCCATCTCCCAACTCATTACAAGACTCTGCTTATCACAATTCAGCACATTCTTCTACTTAAAGGTAATTCTAGCTTGCTATTTCCCTCAGAGATTTTTGAAGGCCATGTAGCAAGTCCAGTAGTTCTGTCAATCCCACTCATCAGTGAAGGTGAGAAAAATCACATGATCCAGCACAGAAAGAATCAACCAGTCCCTGTTTCTCCCATCACCTCCTTTTTCTGATTCAGTGATAGCACACACGACCACAGTGTGAGATCAGTCAAAAATCTATCCAGGTGCCTATAGACGTGGTTGTCACCACACAAGGTGAACATCTCATGCCACCAGTTTGCTCCTGCTTGCTCTTCCAGGCACCAGGCTTACATTCTCCCAACCACACAACCACAAGCATTAATGCCACTAGTCATAAACAACCAACCCTACTGGGAAGTCTGACAAGCAAAGGGAATGCATAATATAAAATGGAGCCACCTTAAAAGCAGAAAACCTCATGCAAAATGTCACACAGTTGTTTTCAAATGGCTTAATTGAAGAATCATATCATTGCTTTGTGGAGAAAAAATTTAGTTGAAAATATATTGTTATCAACGTTATGCTCAGTTCTTTTTTTAGCTGATGCTTCAACACAGTAAGAATTTGTCCCTGGGGGGGGGCAATTCCTAAATTTTTTAAATGTTGTTCTGATACGGGATTCACGTAAATCAATGTAAATGCCACATTTCGCTTCAGTGCTTGTTAGAACAAAGCCTGTCTGAGGTAGAGAAATGTGAATCAAACATTTACAAAGTTACCAGATGCTGAAATTGTTGAAAACATCCCACTCCACATCCATTTCTACACAAATGCACAACAGAATGACAAGAAGTATATTTATCGAATATATCCGCTTTGAAGCAACAATAAAAGCCTTTCAGAACTCTTGACCACATAAGGCTCTGCTTATTTTCCAGTGAGACAATGCTGACAGATGTGAGGAAACAGAGGCTTCTATTCCTGCCTTCCTTTTATAAATGTTTAAAATGAATTTGATAGGGAGAACAAACTATTTGAGCACGTGTTTATCACACAAGAAATCAGAAAGGAAACTGGAAAAGAAGCCCGAAGATTTTCTTCCTGGCAGTGTTCAGTGTTTCATTCCTAACTCTGAGAAAACTGAGGTGAGGGAAACAGGCAAGATGCTTCTGTAAAGTATATTTAACGAGTTCCAAGAGAAGGAAAACACCTCTGCTTAATCAGGGCTGCAAATTTCTGCTGGCACAGCAGCAAACATCAAATCGAGCGTCTGACTGCCCTGAAGCACAGAGCACTGTCCCTGCTTAGCAGAGCACGTTCAGACACTGCCACTAAGTAAAAGAACAAACATTTATAGTTAACCTTTTCAATGTCACTGTGGCTGGAGAATTTCTTAAAGGCTTAAGTCCTTGAACTGAGATTTTAAGATATTCCACCATTAATACCTTTAAATCCTCTGAGAGAAGTCCCTTGGAAGGACTGCTACAAACAATGCTGTGGGTGTACTAGGTTTAGACACTTCAAAATATGCTTGCATTTAAAGCAGTATCAAGATGTGTTCAACTCAAATGTTGCTTGGGGTTTTTTTCCATGTGTTTAGCAAGCTGGTTTTGAAGTAAAAAATGCAGAGAAAGAGCTAAAACCAGAGCAAACACCTGTAAAACTCCAATGAATCCCTGGGTCTTACCAGCACTGATGTGCAGCTCTTTTTCACTTTCTTTAAAAATGTCCACTGAGCAACATGAAAGTTTATTTCTGAACATCACATGAAATATCATATTTTGTCAGCCACATGTGTCACCACACAAAAAAAAGGTACAACTA